TATTTAATTGCTCTATTGATGGAAATTTAAACTGAATTTTTTATTCGACAACCAAAGCTGTAGCGAACATCCTTTCTGTATGCTTCTCATGATCATGTGCAATTTTTCTCTAGGCTGTATACTTAAAAGTGGAACTGCTGGGTCATAAATTATTCACATTTAAAATTTTAATAGATACTGCCAAAATTGCCCTCCAAAAAGTCTGTATCAATTTACACTCCCATCAACACGAATGAAATTACCTCATGTTAGTGGATATTATACCATCTTTTATTTTTTGCAAATCTGATGGATAAAAAATATCTCATTGTTTCATTTTGCATTTCCCTAATTACTGGGGAAGTTGAATGTGCATCATTTCATATGTTGATTGGACATTTGTATTTCCCCTTCTGTAAATTATCTGTTTATGGCTCATTAAATTGTAGAAGCTCTTTTTACATCTTAGGAGAACCCTTTGTTATATAGGTTGCAAATATCTTCTCCCCATCTGTAGCTTGTTTTTACTGTTGTTTATGGTTATCTTTCAGTATACAAAGGTTTTTTTTCTACTTTAATGAATTTAAATCTGTCAGTCTTTTCTTCTGTGACTTTAGAATTTTATGTCATGATTAGAAAAGCTTTCTCTGTCCCAAGTTTTAAAAATATTCTCTGATGTTTTCTCCTTATATTTTTAGAATTTGTCTTTAGTCCAATGGGAATCTATTTTTGTGAATGGTGTTTGTGTGAAAGGATCTCGTTTTATTTTTTTCCTAAATAAATGGCCTATTTTCCCAGCATCATTTCTGGAATAGTCCATTCTTTCCCTGCTGACTTACATATGGTAGATTTCCATATGAATATGAATCTGGTCTTAGGCGTACTTTTCTGTTCTATTGCTCTTTTTGCTATTCTGATGTCTTTACATTACAGCCCATTTACTCAGCAAGCATGGCAATCTAGCTTCTACCCAAAATTCCCCTGAAATTATTATTCTCAAACATATTTATGTCCATCATGTCACCAAACCCAATGGATATTTTTCAATTTGTATCTTCTGAACACCATTTATCATTCCCTCCCATATGCTACATGATACAACTCTCCCTCAATTCTTCTCTCAATAAAAATCATGATCATAACAATATCTTCAGTTTACTAAGTAGTTACTCTGTGCCAGGCATTGTTTAAGCATTTCATATGCCATATATGTTAAATGTCCTTTACTACAACTCTCTAAGGTAGTATTTTTATCATCATAATGCCCACCTTACAGGTGAGAAAACTGAGGCATAGAGAATTTAAGTATTTTGTTTAGGATCCCTGGGCTAAAAAAATGGCAAGATGGGATTTGAACCCAGGTCTGTCTGGATCAAAGCATAAGTTCCTAAGCACTCCCCTCTCCAGCCTGTCCTTCTCCGTCTCCCCCTTGGGTTTCCTTTTCTCTAGCATCCTTTAAATTGTAGCTTTTGGCTGGGCGCGGTGGTTCGTTCCTGAAATCCCAGCACTTTGGGAGACCAAGGCAGGAGGATTGCTTTGAGCCCAGGGCAATAAAGTGAGACCAGCTGGGGAATAAAGTGAGACCTCATCTCTACAAACAAAACCCCCCAAAATTAGCCAAGTGTGGTGGCGCGCATCTCTAGCCCCAGCTACTCGGTTGGGGCAGGTAGTGAGGGGGGCAGTGATACTGAGGTAGAAGGATCACCTGAGTCCAGAAGTTTGAGGTTGCAGTAAGCTGTGATCATGCCACTGCACTCCAGCCTGGGCGACAGAGTGAAATCCTGACTCAGATAAATAAAGAAATAAATACATAGTAGCTTTCCACAGGATTGGCCTGGTTTATGCACGTGGCCTGGTAAAGCAGGGCATTCTGATGCCATTTCAATGCAGCTGCACTGACATATCTATGCTGAAATGGCCCTGACAGCATGTAGAAGATACTGCTTTTTATTACAGATCCCTGGAGCTTACTCTACCTCTGTTCCTTAGCCCAATTTCAGGGAGACTTTTCATTTCTATGTACTTGATTTTTTTATGAGTATGTATCATATTTATAACCAGAAAAAACAATAAGAATATTTTTAAAACAGTGAAAGTAGATTTGCCTCTAAGGGGCAGTATCAGTTCAGTCCTCCTAAGCCATCATTACTAAGGCATTGTCCAATGTCAGATCTGTTGAATGAACGTAACTGAAAGAACTTCAAGACTTAGCTCAGCCTTTCCTGAGAAATTTAATCAAGGAGTTCCTGAATATTCTGCAGCTGAGATTAAGCACTCATATTGTGGCCTGAATATCTCCTTTCCCCAGGGTCTAATTTATTTTCAACCAAACAAGATCAGTACAATAAGCAAGCCTATAAAAAGCAGAGGTGGCTTTCTTCTAGAATTTCAAAAGGAAAATAGACTTCAGTTCAATTATTAAGAAGCTACATATATTTATTCACTGTAAGGAAATGAGTATGGCTGTTGTAGCTTTAAGAGAGAATGAGAAGAATTTGGCATATAGTTCATCTAAGAAGCAAGAGAATCCTCAAAGGGTGAGCAGACATTTTGCTCAAAATGATAAATGACCTTTTCTGAGATGAGCATGTGTGATAGCCATGTGACTTTTGGTTAAACACAGACGGGCCCTGACCCCAGCCCTCACCACATCCTCATCTCTGAGCCTCACCCTTCCCCTCACCCACACACATTCTCAACCCCCCACACTCTCTCTGGGCTCCCCATCTACCTCTCTGCTTATTCCTGTTCAGTCCCTTTTCAGGATGTCTTTCTCTCCATTTGCTGATTTAACATCCCAAGGTTTTTGTCATTAGCCCAGTGTTCTTCTCACCATAATCCCTGGGTGATCTTACATATGTCCACGGTTGGAACATATCACCTCTACCTGATGACCTTAATCTACATTTCCATCCTAGACCCTCTTTTTTTTGTTTTGTTTTGTTTTTTTTTTTGAGTTGGAGTCTCACTCTGGCGCCCAGACTGGAGTGCAGTGGCCGCTCCCGGCCACCGCAGCCTCGCCTGCTGGGCTCCGGTGATCCTTCTACCTCTGCCTTCCAAGTAGCTGGAACTACAGGCACGCGCTACCACGCCCGGCTCATTTTTGATTTATTGTAGAGATGAGGTCTCGCCAAGTTGCCCAGGCGGGTCTCGAACCCGCGGGCTCAGGCAATCCACTCACCTCAACCTCCCAAAGGTACGGGATTACAGGCTGAGCCACCGAGCCCCGCTTGACCCTCTTATGTTTAACTGCCTACTGCTGAGACTTAAGACTTAACGTCATCATGTATCTCAACATTCCATCAACAGCTTTAAGTCAACATGTATAAAACAGAGCTTATAATTTTAAAGACTGCTTCTCTTATATTACCTCTCTTACGGAACACCACTACCATGTGTCCACTCTCCAAAGCCAGAAATGCGGGCCTTACTCTAGAGCTTTCTTTTGCCTTCACAACCCACACCAAGTCTCTAACAAGTCCTGTTGACTTTACCTACTCAATATTTATCAAATATCTCATCTTCTTATCTCAGCACTTATTTTACCTCTTGCCTCCATCTAGTTAATCTTAGAGACTCATAATTGGTTTTCCTGATGTTTTAGCATATATCCAGACTATTCCAAAGTACCCTTTTCAAAGGCCAATTAGACTACATCATTCTATTTCTCTTTTTTTAGTTTGATGGAATCCTTCACAAATGTGTATGTCATCCTTGCTCAGGGGCCATGCTAATCTTCTCATTATTGTTTAGCAGCACACCACTCTATTTATGAAAACATTTCAATGGCTCCATATTTGCATATCCTCTAAATCCCTCCATGACCTGCCCCCTGCTTACCTCTTGCTTACCTACTTTTCCCTAGCTCACTCCAAGTGCTAGCCCAGGGGCTGATCCAGGCTTTTTCGGGCCTTATGCATACACAATTTGAAGGACCCTCCAAAAAAATGATACAACATTATGACTAAGAATTAGTCACAGGGCTTTGGAAAGGGCCTGTGCAAATGAGAGCGCTGAAGCTCAAGCTTCATTAGTGACTGCTTCTGTCTAGCCAAACAGAGCAAGTTACAGTTCTCTAAACATACCAGAATCCGCCGGGCTCGGTGGCTCAGCCTGTAATCCCGCGCCTTTGGGAGGCTGAGGTGAGTGGATTGCCTGAGCTCGCGGGTTCAAGACCTGCCTGGGCAGCGAGACCTCATCTCTACAATAAAAATAAAAAACCAGCCGGGTGTGGAAGCGCATGCCTGTAATTCCGGCTACTTGGAAAGCTGAGGCGGAAGGATCGCCGGAGTCCAGCAGGTCAAGGCAGCGGTGGCCGGGAGCGGCCACTGCACTCCAGTCTGGGTGACCGAGTGAGACTCCAACTCAAAAACAAAACAAAACAAAACAAAACAAAAAACATACCAGAATCCGCCACATCCCTTTGTCCTTGTACAAGCAGTTGCTTCAGTCTGGGATGCCCTTCCTCTCCCTTCCCTTGTCTGTCTAGCAAAATAGATCACCCTTCAAGAGTCAGCTCAGGGAGGCATGTCCTCTATAAAGGTTTTCCTGACCTCGCCCATGGAATTGACCATTCTTGCCTTTGTGTTCTCATTGGAACCTGTCTTTTACCTCTCTGTACCCTGTCCTTTATGGAACATATTACTCTATGGAAATTATTTGCTTAAAACCAGCCTTGCCAATGAGTGTCTCAAGGGCAAAGACTAAGTCATTCCTTCTTAGATTGTCAGAGCACAGCAGTACCTGGCACAAGGTAGGAGCTCAATAAATGTCTGAGTTGAATTGAGATTCTACCCATGTATATTAGAAACACACCCTTCTTTTGGCAAAATGTATGGAATGGAAGAATCGGTGTAGACAGGGACCCTGGGCAGGAACAGTGCTTGAGGTACCTGCTACCTGTCCATGCCATTCTGGGAGGACAGGTTAGGGCCCAACATCTGTTCTCTCTTCAAGACCCCCATGGTGAGCTCCTCCCTGTGGTCCCCCCATAAATCTCCCCTCCCCACTGCCTTCCTTACCTGTCCTCCTTGTTGATCTGGTCCCCAAAGCCCACCGTGCTAACAATTGTGAGCTTTAGCCCCACATTGCTCTCTTGGAGGTCATAGGTATTGGACCGGAGCTGGACACCTGGCTGTGTGTGGGTAGCTGGCTCCCCTTCAAACTTGGTGTTGAACAGGGTGTCCATAAGTGTGGACTTGCCCAAACCAGTCTCCCCTGAAAAGCAAAAAGGATAGATTATGATCCATTCACACAGTGCAGCCCTTACACATCACATTTTAGATGTACACTTCTAGGCCAGGCGCGGTGGTGGCTCATGCCTGTAATCCCAGCACTTTGAGAGGCAAAGGTGGGATGATCGCTTGAGCCCAGGAGTTCGAGACCAGCCTGGGAAACATAGCAAGAACTCATCTGTACAAAAATTAAAAACAGCCGGGCTCGGTGGCTCAGCCTGTAATCCTGCGCCTTGGGAGGCTGAGGTGAATAGGATTGCCTGAGCCAACTTGGCGAGACCTCATCTCTACAATAAATCAAAATCAGCCGGGCATGGTAGCGTGTGCCTGTAGTTCCAGCTACTTGGAAGGCTGAGGCAGAAGGATCGCTGGAGCCCAGCAGGTCGAGGTTGCGGTGGCCTGGAGCGGCCACTGTACTCCAGTCTGGGTGACAGAGTGAGACTCCAACTCAAAAAAAAAAAAAAATTAAAAACAAATTTGTTGTGTGTGGTGGTGCATGCCTGTAGTCCCAGCTACTTGGGAGGCTGAGGTAGAAGGATCACCTGAGCCCAGGAGGTTGAGGCTGCGGTGAGCCATGATCATGCCAATGCACTCCAGCTTGGGTGACAGAGTAAGGCCCTGACTAAAAAAAACATACATTTATCAACACAGGAAAATGTATAAAATAAAACACTAAGTGAAAAGCATATAGAATTATATGGACTGCATGATCTCAGTTAAATGAAAAAGATTCAAAGGAACGGCATCAACATAGCAGCAGCAGTCATCTCAGACAGTAGAACTGGGATAATTTTCATTTTATTCTTCCAATTTTTTTCCTATTATTTGACAATTTTACTTTGACTATTTATTGCTTTTATAGTCAGAAAAAGAAATTATGTTATAGGCAGTGATGGAGAGGTACCAAGAAGCCTAGAAACAGACTGGAAGAAAATACAATATACTCTTTTTAAAAATCTTTTTATATATTTATTTCTTTTTTTTTTATAACTGAACATTTTACAATATATTTTTACCAATGGTTACCTCTGAGGGGAGGGATTGTGTGTGATTTTTATCTCTTTCCTTATGCTTTTCTGTACTTTACAAGTTTTCTATGTGGAACATGTCTAGTTTTTGTAATAAAAATTAAAGGCTATTTTTTTTTTAAAGGGACAGGGGTCCCTTGTCAAACAAATATCCTCTGGTCCCAGTCCCTGCCTCTCCTCCCTGCTACGCCCAATCAGCCCTCTGTGGACGCTCCGGATGTGAATCCCAATGGCGAGACTGCACAGACCCTTGACTTTACCTCCCAGCCTGGTTGAACTTTCAGTGAGACCATTTTTAGCTAATATGGAGGGAACTTAGCAGGCCACAAATTATTCTTCTCCTTAAATTTCAAACAAACCAGCTTTTATTTGTTTAACTACCAGGCTGCAGGATACTAATAAATTAAACCACTGGAATTTCAAAAGTCTCGAACTTCACACTAGGAGAATGAATGGGGGAAGGGCTGTGGCGGACTGGTGAAGGTTATGGGAGCTTATTCCTAGGAGACCGAGGGATATCAAGCGACTGCCAGGAGCCAAGGAGTCTTCAGGGAAGGGGACATCATAAGGAGTCACAAATTGAAGGGAAGTTGGTGACGTGGGGCTAGCAGGAATCAGATATGAGGCCACGAGTTGGGCTGGGCACTAAAACCACTTGCAATCTCCACAGATCCAGGCTGTATTTGGTCCCCCAGTCCACCTCAAGTGACTCTGGAATACCAGAGATAAAAGTGGCAGTAGTTCATTACCCTGGTCTGCCCTTGGAATATATAGACTACTCTGCTATTCTGCAATCACAGTCTCTCTTTTTCTCTCCCCCTCCCCCAACCTGGGGCATGTGAGCTCTGCTTTCTCTTCACAGTGAGGAATGGGTTTGCACTGGGCAAATTCTAGCCTGGCAAATCTCCCCTTGGGACCAACAGCACACATTTGCAAGGTGGTCCAGGGTTAGGGTTAGAGTTGCATGTGGAACTGAAAATGCTGTCTCTCCTCCACCCTCTGGGTGTGTCTATCTTTGCATCTTCCATGACTCTTTTATCCAGAATAATGAGCTACGAATGCAGGAGGTGCTTTTAAAAATATCTGCCTATGATGAGAGCTTTCTGTGTGTGGAGAAAGAGGAGAGGGAGGAAGGGAAGAAAACGAGGGGGGGAGAGGTAGGGAGGTAGGGAGGGAGAGAGAGGGAGAGAGGGAGAGAGAGAGAGAGAGAGAGAGAGAGAGAGAGAGAGAGACAGAGAGAGACAGAGAGAGACAGAGAGAGACAGAGAGAGAACAAGGAGAACATTCAATTCAGCCTGGCTACCCGGCCCCCCAGCCCAATTTTACAGCCAGGTCTGACTAACTCGGTAGATTGCCAGGGTTCAGGGAAACGGTTCCTCACCCAGATCATGTTTCCAGCCAGGATCTGCTAAATCCATTAGCAGCAAAGACTTTCCAAGATGAGGCCCCCTTTTTCCTCTCCTAACGGAACAGGAAGTATTTGGGTCTCAAAAAAAAACTTTGATGAGGTGGAACCTTTGCCATGGGAGGTGGCAGATTTGGCCAAGCAGCAGAATGTATCATGCCCCCACCCCACCCAAGGTAGGGGTGCAGCTCAACTGCACACGGGCCAGCACCTCTGAGGTGGGAACACAGGGTGCCTCCCTCGCCCTAACTCACCTCTCCTCTCAAGGGCACTGAGGTTCAAGCTACATTTTAGCCCATCTTTGTATGTGCCGACTGAATGCTCCATGTATAGCCCCACCCTCATTCCCACTTCTGTTCCATGAGCTCCCTGCTGAATGCCCCTCAGCTCCTAGAGAGTGGTGGGTCCTGTCCCCTCAGCACCCAGAGTGGGTTCCCTGGCTCCCTGCTCCTAAGAATTCCCAGCAGGGGATGAAGCATCTTCCTGTACTCCTGGGAGGGCCTAGTCCAAGGTTCATACCGAAGGCCTCAGGAGCAGAACTGCAGAGTAAGGGACCCACCCTGTTTGCACAGCTGGAGAAACGGGGGCAGGGCAGGGCAGGCAGCAGGGAGGAACAGCAGGAGAAATGACCACCCAAATGCCTGCCAGCACAAAAGCACTGTGGAAATGAGATGCCAAATAATGAATGTCTGGAAGAAAAGAACTCATGGGTGTCTAGGTAATCGTGATAAATGCAATATTAGAAGAGGGCAGAAAATCAAGCAAGCTCACTTGTTCATCACTGTGGAGCCTGGGGGTGGAGGGAGGGTTTCTCTCAATGGCTGGCACAGACTCAGCCTGAACCTAGGATACTGTCCCCTCCCACAACTCCCCTGGGTCCGGTATTGAGTAGCGGGTGGCGGGAGGGGAGGGACACACGTGACCTAACTGAGATCAGGTCAGAAGATTCAACCACCCCTGCAGGAAGGTGGAGACTTGGCAATTAAATTCCAGCAGGAAACCTGGAGGAGTCCCGAGGGGTCAATTTCTCTCTGCTCCTCCCCAGCCCTCCCAGAACTCCTGAGTGGACCGGAGGGTTTCTGAACTCTTTTTAACACATGCTCCACCAGCCAAGAGGATTTCACCTCATATTGTTTAATGTAGATAGGACTCAAAAAACAACAGGTTTTTGAAAAAAAAAATTAAATTTAAGGCACGTATGAGTAACATGAAATATGCTTTTTCCAACTATACGCTCTGGGATACTTCAATGTTGACCTCTCCACCTTGGGTGAAAAATCTGTGTAAAAAAGAAAAGCTCTGGCCAGGTGCAGTGGCTCACGCCTATAATCCCAACACTTTGGGAAGCTAAGGCAGGAAGATCACTTGAGCATGGAGTTTGAGAACAGCCTAGGCAACATAGCAAGACCTTGTCTCTACAAAAAAATCAAAAAATTAGCCAGGTGTAATGGTGCCCGCCTGTAGTCCCAGCTACCTCAGCAGCTGAGGCAAAAGGATCACCTGAGCCCAGGAAGTCGAGGCTGCGGTGAGTCGTACTCACGCTACTGCACTCCAGCTTGGGTGACAGACTGAGACCCTGAGAAGGAAGGAAGGAAGGGAGGGAAGGAGGGAGGGAGGGAGGGAGGAAGGAAGGAAGGAAATGAAAAGCTTAGCCATTTTCCTCAGTTGCTGTTAATATTTGCATCCTCTGGCACCTCATGCAATTAAATCCTTGCAAGTTATGAAATGAAGAGTCCTAGCCAATTATTGTGTGACCTGAGCTGAGCCCTGCCCCCTCTCTGGGTCTCAGTCTCTTTTTCCATAAAATGAGAGGGCTGGAGTAATAAGAATAGTCAGGCACAAATTATAAGGGCTGGAGATATAGATGAACAAGATAGCCACAATCTCTGTTCTCGTGGATCTAAAGTCTCTTCCAGCTCTGAATGTTGGAATAAAACAAGAGAAATGTCTCTGAATTCAACAGGGAGGTATCCAAACGGAAACACTCCAGGAACTCCAGTTGGCCAGGGAAGCCTATGGAAAGGGACAAGGTCATGCCTGGCTCATTGACCTTGCTCTTTCTCCTTCCTGATCTTGGCAGAGAGTGGTGTGCTGGAGCCAGCTCATCCGCTTCCTGCATCTCTTCCCAAGCCCGTGTGCAGTGGTGTCATGTTGGTAGCTTAGAATCAGCTATGGTGGGAGTAATATCACCACAGAAATGAGCAGGTGCTACAAGCCATGGCAACTTTTCTCCTGCAATGGGTTGTTGGACGTTGGCCAGCACACCACTATTGGCAGCCTGTCTTAGGCAGGTGAGCAGCTGCCTTTCCCAGAGACAGAGGGATGAAACAATTGACCCCTGACTTTGATTGAATGCTAGCTGCCCTTTCCCATTCTTGTGCAGTAAGCTTCAATCCTGCTTCTCTTGTGTGTGTGTTTTTTCCAAGTTCAACAGAGCCCAATTAAGCCCGGAATCCTAAGCAGCTTCAAAGTAAATATTATCATTATAACCCTTTGTGCTCCTCACAGCCATTGCTGGTGCTGGCACATTTGAACGAATGAGCCTCTCTGGGGCTCATTCCCAGCAGTGCAAACCAGTGGCCCCAGGGCATTTGTACTGCTGGCTCTGGTGGCTTCTCTGGGGCCTTCTGTACTTTATCTAGGATCATGGGATCCTGAAATTTCCCAAAGCTAAGGGACTAGTATTTGTGTTTTTATGGAGGAAGGAGGAGGGGAACCTCACCCCATTAAGTAATTCTTGTCAACCCTACAGAATCTATTGGAGAGAAGTCATAATATCCTCACACCCATGTGCCTAGTCCTCTAAAAAGAATCATAATTGTGGGTGCCATCTATTGGTACCCTTACATATAAATTAGGCTCTGAATTCTCTCTCAATCTCAACATACACATGTGCATACAGGCTTACATATGCACACGTGCACAAAGGACAGTTTGCTTGATCCTACGATCAGCAGCCCAGCACCAAGTTAAACAAAATGTGAAAAAATATCCTAGATCTTTGTTAATAATCAAAACTCAGTAGGGATCGGTGGCTCAGCCTGTAATCCTGCACTTTGGGAGGCTGAGGTGAGTGAATTGCCTTAGCCCACGGGTTCGAGACCTGCTTGGGCAAATAGGCGAGACCTCATCTCTACAATAAATCAAAACAATTAGCTGGGCATGGTAGCGTGTGCCTGTAGTTCTGGCTACTTGGAAGGCTGAGGCAGA